ATTTTAAAATAAAATGAACAAGAAATAATTTCGGTTACAGCAAATGAAGTGTGGCAGTGGGCTCATGTTCAAGGAGTCAATTTGTATTAAGATCTTTTCCATCCTAAAGCAACAACCTGATAAATGATTGAAGGACCTTTTGAAGATTCGGTTTTAGTGCTAACTGGCTCACAATACTTTGCAGGATTCAGTTAATGCTTCACAGGATATAATAGATACTCAGCAGCCTATATAAAGTGATGATTGTCTTGTAGTCAGGAGTCCAAGAAAAAAGGGATAAAAGTGGGGTAAAATAGTGATTCCTGTCACTCCTAATAACCCTGTAGTGAATTTTTTCCTATTTCAGTCAAGTTGTAAAAATAAGGATAGTAATAATGGCCATTTCTGCCTTACTTTGAATTGAATATATTTATATGTAGATTAGCCAGTTTTTTCTTTCCTTTTCCAAATTTATTCCCTTACTATATAATATCTGTTAATAGTGGTTAATAATGTATTTCATTATATAGTTACAGAAAATCAATGAAGATCTATGACTTACTAGGAGATAAACATCCAAAGATACTTTATATTACCTTTTAAGGAGTTAATACATTTTTGTTGTTTTAAGTGAGTTGCTACATTATGTGAGTCAAAAGCATTATCTTACTATTTTTAAGTTGAGGTTAAATATGGCTAATATATAAATGAATTCCAAGTAGACGGTTAAACTGTGATGGTTTGTATTAACTGTACTAAGCTGTAACTATGTTCCCCAGAATCCCTTTCACTATACGGTTCCATGTTAGAGGAGGCAAAAAGATGAATGTAAGCAATGTTTGGAATCAGAATTGAAGCAGAGATCATTACCCTTTAAAGATCATCATGCTTAGGTGTGTAACCAACAGATTAGAGAGAGGTCAGTGGGTTCTAACTTTTCATTTTCTCTATGTCTAATTCTGCTTTTCAATGTCTTTCTCTTCCTCCTAACTGCTGATCTGATTGACAACATTCTCAGACCCACCACTAGATTGCTGGCAGCATACCGTTAAAGACAGTGACAACTCAGAGGCATAGATAGCTTCCCTAGATATCCCACAAGCCTTTTACTCCTAGCCTTACTGTGGTAGTTGGACAGATGGCTTCTGAGATTAATAGATGGGTGGCTCCTCTGATTTTCCATCTTCTCCAACTTTCACTTCCCTAGATGCTCTTCTGTGTAAAATATAAATCCTATAATAGGACAGGCTGGATGAACAATCTGGAGGAGAAAACAACGGGACTGACAGTTC